AAAAAAATTAATCAAAAAATTTCACCGGAAACCGTCCCAAATGGCGACGGCCGGACAGAGCCTCCTATAAAAGGGCTTATTTGCACTTTTTATGTAAGTTCAATTCTAGGGCTTATTTGATAGTTCTCTCAAATAAAAATAAAAGTAAGAATGACTTAAAAACAAACAAATTTTTTCATATTTAGTCTTTCACTTCCTTTCATCCTCCTCCAACTCATTATCATCATCATCATCATCATCATCGTCTTAATCCTCTGTTCTCTTCTCAAGAAAAGAGGAAGAGGAGGATGAGACAATAATTAAAAGTATATTATTAATAACTTTAGGAACATATTTATCCTATCGATTTTTTGTTAGTAATATTTCAGGAAATATCTCTTACCCAAAGTATGATTTTTTTTAGAATACTGTTGTTCCTTATTTTTTGTCTGCTGAAATTATGATCACCTCCTAATGGATTATTAATATCCAAATTATATACTACTTCCATCCATTTTTATTTAGCCATCTTTGACTTTTTCAGTCAAAGATCATAAATTTTGATTCATTATTTTAACTAATTACTATATTTATGTGAAACTTAATATTTTATACTTTCATGATAGTATTTTTAATAAAGAACATTTTATATCATTTTCATATTATCAATATTACCATGTATATATATAAATATATCATTGGTCAAAGTTTGGATGTAGGACATATGGTCCGCCAAATAGAAATCTTTCCTAACATGTGAAATTCCAATATTGTCCCTCTTTTTCTGCGGGAAAAGTCACCACATTTCTCCTTTTATATATAGATAGATAGATATTAAAATTAAGGCTAAAAGGTCAAATAGGTACATGAACTAACTTAAAGTGTTCAATTAGCCCCTTATATAGGAGGTTCTGCCCGGCCGTCGCCAACTGGGGAAGGTCCAGGTGGAATTTTTTGATTACATTTTTTGAGCATCTTCTTCACTAAGTCTAGTTTACGCATACCAAATTTCATCTAAAAATTCAACCGGGAAGGCAGTCAAATGATTTTTTGAAGATAACTGCGCAGTTAAACAACGGAGTACATTTCAGAAAATCATTTGACTGCCTTCCTGATTTAATTTTTAGCTGAAATTTGATATGGGTAAACTAGACTTAATGAAGAAGAAGTTAAAAAAATTTCATAAAAATTTTTTACCGGGAACCATCCCAACTGACGACGGTCGGGCAGAACCTCCTATATAAGGGGCTAATTGAACATTTTAAGTTAGTTCATGTACCTATTTGATCCTTTAGCCTAAAATTAATGACATACTACTTGTAAAAGAAGTATATCTGTAGTATATAGTAGCCTATGTGAATAAATGTGATTAATAAAAAAATGCGATTAACATAAAAGAAAAAAACTCTTAAAAATATGTTATGCACATAATCACGTACACAAATATTTCGATGCGATAAAGGGAGAACTATCAAATAAGCCCTCGAACTTTCATAAAAAGTGCAAATAAGCTTTTTTACAGGAGGTTTTGTACGGCTGTCACCGATTTGGGGAGGTTTACGGTGGAATTTTTTGATGAAATTTTTTGAGCATCTTCTTCATTAAGTTTAGTTTAGTCATACCAAGTTTCAGATAAAAATTCAATCGAGAAGGTAGTCAAATGATTTTCTGAAATATACTGTGCTGCCTAACTGCACAGTTATCTTCAAAAATGTATTTGACTGCCTTCCCGATTGAATTTTTAGCTGAAATTTGGTATGAGTAAACTAGACTTTATGAAGAAGAGGCTAAAAAAATGTCATCTAAACAATCCACCGGAAACCGCCCCAAATGATGATGGCCGGACAGAGCTTCCTATAAAAGAGCTTATTTGCACTTTTTATGAAAATTTGAGGGCTTATTTGGTAGTTCTCCCTATAATATATTAGGGAGTATACATAAGTGTCCAAATGTGGAGAAGCTACTAGTTAAACTTCTACTACGTATATTTTAATTTAGTCATGTGAACAGGGACGGATCCAGGATTTCGAGTCAAGGGGGGCGAAAAATTTTGTTAGAGTAGCGGGTCATTTTTTCAATGGTGTGACGGGGTGAACTTTTTTTGATAGTGTAGCGGGCTGAATTTTTTCACCAGTGTGAGGCTCTGCGGTTAGTTTTATTAAAAAAAAATCATTAATACATACATGTCAACATTTAAATGTATATCTTTAATTTTATAATTGAAGAGCTCTAGAAAAAAAGTATTGATACATTAAATCGTAAGAAATGACACATAAAAGGAAAATGATTCGAAAATAAAAAGGATATATAAAGTTTTATTTGAAGATAAAGAGTTTATAGGGAACACATTCACCAATACTTTTAAAACAACTTCTACATTGTCTAAATACATGAATCTTATAAAAATAAAGAACATGTTTTTCAATTACAATTTTTGTCTACCAAGGAGGGTGTTCATGAATCATGAGGACTTTTCTTAATATTATAATAGTATGTATGAGGTTATTCTTTTTAGAATAATATTATATTGGTAATTCATATATATAGTGCATATATTATATTTGTATTAATGCTAAACTAAGTTAAAGTTTATTATCTATGCAATAAAGTCTTTTTAGAACGTAAGAAGTAAATGAATTGTGTAATTTAATGTCAATAGACATTTATATTTTGAACTCACTTCACATCGTTTGTAAACTGTGTGACTAGTGTGTCCGGTATTTAATATCGTTTGTTATATATTTTACAAAATTGTGTACTAGTTATCAAATAAAGATAATTAAACATTACAAAACTAAGAATTTTTATATAATAAGTATCATAAATCTTAAACAATGAGTTGTTCTATTGTTTATTTATTTAATTTATGTAAATTATCTTAGGTGTTTCTTCTTTTAAATCTCCAAGTAAGTATTACATTATGTAAAACTATAAATCAATTTTGAAAACTAAAAGTTAAGGGGGACGAATATAATCAAAGTATGAAAATTTTAGGAAAATATTACATATATTGTAGAAAATTTGGAAGTCCAACGGGGACGATCACCCCACCGCTCCTTTAAATCCATCCCAGCATGTGAATCACACTTCAGCCACAGATGCCACTTCTGCTGATTCTTAAACCACTCCGTACTATTTTTGTATCATGTCGTCTACTCGTCTATCTACAAACCCGTAGGAATTCATTCATGTGAACCCGGCAAAAAGAAAATCATAAATACCATCCAGATCCCATCTAGTCTTTGCACCATTAATATACTTCCTTCCTTATCATTTCATTTATTTAATAATTTTGTGTGATTAAAATTCATTTATATTTTTCTAAATTATTCAATAATGAAGGTAATTCATTTCATTGTCACTTTCGTAAACTCCAACTAAAATCAAATTGAGAAGATGTTTAATAAAGAGGGTAGTACCCTATTTGTCAGTGCATGCTTAATAACTGACTTTGATCATTCTACTTTCTAACTTGTGGTAATATTTAGTCTCTAAAATCTCTTAAGTACACGTTTCATATAATTAATTTTTTAGCATCAAATTAATTACAGCAGTTTTTGGAAAAAATGGCATGAAAATTATTAATGGGCTATGCATTTTCAAAACTATGACCCAATTTATCTTTTCCAAAAAAGTGACAAATTTGCCTTGGACCCCTCCGATGTGTTTCTTCTCCCCCTCCTCTGCGTTGGGCATCTATTCGCACCATTTCATGCCAAACGGCCGGCCTCACCTCTACCTCGCCCCAACCTATGAGACTCACCCCACATGCCGCCTCCGCCTCCGTGTCTACCTCGCCGTGCCTCAGACTCTCCGCACAGCTGCCTCTGCCTCAGCATCGCCACACAGGCCCCCTCCGCCTCAGTCTCGCCTCGCCTCGCCTCGCTTTGCTTCACAGACCACCTTCGCCCCGCCTCGCCTCAGATGGATGGATGGTCAGATCTGAGATGACGACCAACAACGACCAGATCCGGGGGATAGGGTGGCAGCTAGAGTTCAATTGCGGTGGTCAGGGTTGAGCTTGGTTGTCGAAGGTGGGGCTGGGATGGGGTAGGGGCTAGGGGTTGGGTTGGGATCTAGTGTGTAAAGCTAGGGTTGGGGACGCGGTGGCGGTTGTGGACAGAGAACGGGCGGCGGCAGTGGACAGTGGATGGTGGAGCGGCGGTGATTGGGGACGAGAAAGGGCGGCGGTGGCAGCTTTGCTAGGTAGCTTTGGTGGCAGGGCGGCAGAAAACTTTTCCGGCGGCCACTTCGGCCAGTGGGCAGTCAATTACTATGGTCGGAGTCAGACACTGTGGCTGGCGGCTGTCACTGACGAGGGACAGTGGCAGTCACTGATCGGGACGGCAGCAGTCACTTGACGGGATGGCGGCAGTGAGTACGGGACGGCAGCGGAGTCACTTTGACCGGAGTCACTGAGATAGTGATTGGCGGCGGCGGCGGCAGCGGTGGCGGTGCTGGGGTTGGCGGCTACGGAGGTGCTGGTGGCTGCAAAATATGGACTACTAAAAATAAAAAGAATATTAAATAATAAATACATGATTAAATAAATAAATGACTTTTAGTCATTTTTTTGAAAAAATTTAAAACATGTCACATTTTTGTCTTTTCATTCATTTTAGTAATATTGAAATAAAAAGGCCTAGTTTTTGATGAAAAGTTTATTTCTTTTAACATGAGTAAAAAGCTCAGATAGACTCAATAACTTGTTACTTCGTATATTTAACATGAATACATAAAATAGTAAGGGTCTGTTTACACTACAAGAAATCCGTAAATTAGTGTAGGATTTTAGGGTCGGTTGGCACATCCGACAACAATCAGTGTCGGACCTTAATGGCGGAAGTTAATCAGCCAGTAATTTGCAGCGGACACTGGTTGCCACTAATTTGTAGCGGATTCTGTGGCGGAATTATTCAGCCACTAATTAGTGCCGGATGTGAGTGACGGATTTTTCCGCCACTAAAATCTCTCATAAAATTAGAAGTACATATACACCACAAAAGAGTGACACATCATTCCCCACACCCATATCTTATCTTCATCTCTAAAATACGGATCTGGACGGGATGTAAGGTTAGAACTCTCACTTTTACTATTTCTAATTTTCTTATATTAATTAATTAGTTATATGATATCCTGTTTTTTTTTTGTTAAATATACAAATTATATTGAGTTTTAGAAGTACTTGTTTGAAATAAGTGTTGTTTATTAGTCCATCTTTTAGAATTTGTTATATCATGTTGTTGAATGATTAATTATATAAACTAATTTAAAGATTAATAGTCCTTTTGGTAGATTTAGGTAAGGTTTGGAAAAAATGGCCCATTTCATTAGTGATAGTAAAAAAAATAGATATTACTTTAGTTGTTAATTCATGTTTTTATATATTTACATAAAATATGATGAATTTTTAATGTTAGGTTAACATGAAGAGTGTGTAAAAACAATTATTTCTTTTGTTAAGTATATGTTCAACACGTGAATGTGTATGTATGATAGTTTGTTGATTTTTTAAAATATAGAAATTATGGGCCCTAGTTTGAGTAATTTAATGATAAATATAAATGAAAATTTTAATTTTGTTATTAGTTAAGAAATATAAACAAAAAAGGTTGATGTTTCATTTACTGTTTAAAAACAATAATTACATTTTAAATAGTTCTTATAAATATTTAGTGATATTCCGTAAAAAAAGTATTTAGTGATATGAATCAATAATATTGTGTAATACTATATCTTGTATGGATTTTGCTCCTCTCCATTAACTGGAATGGTCCAGTAGGAGAGAGATAGAGAGAGGTGGGGAAATGGTGGGGTAGAGAAAAAGAAAATATTATGTTTAATTATTATTTTTAAGGAGAGATAGGGTGAAAAAGAAATGGAGAGAGTAAATGGAGAGGAGTATGACCCATCTTGTATAGGTTTTACAATGAGTCATGATAGATCATGGATGTACAAAAGGTTTGCAAGACGAGAAGTTCTAAATGAAGAATTTAAGGAAGGAGTTACAGAATTTATCCAAACTGCGGTAAACTTATATCAAAGTGGTGTTATTGCATGTCCTTGTAGAAAGTGCAAGAACAAAAAGTGGATGACATGGGATATTGTTAGGCATCATTTATTTGAAAAAGGTTTTGTGGAAGATTATTATGTATGGGAGGCACATGGGGAGCCACATAAATCAAATGGATTAGTTTATTTGGATGAAAGTAGCTCATCTCATGGCAATACATCTGAAGGGCAATATGATCCGTACAAATCAATGTTTGAAGATGCAATAAGGAATGAACTCCCAACTAGATTTGATCACGGTGAGGGTGCAGATGAACCTTGTCCTATCACAACACAAATGTACGAAATGTTGGATACAATGAGTCAACCGTGTTTCGATGGCTGTCCCATGATGCAGTTGAGTGCAATGACAGAAATGCTGAATATAAAGACAGAGATGCATTTATCAGAGGCTGCGACGGGTAGAATTTCTCAATTCGTAAATAGGTTTTTCCCGTCAAGCATCCCAAACAAACCAATTCCAAATTTCAACAAAATCAAAAGAAAACTATCTGTGTTAGGAATGAGCCATCAATCCATCGACTGTTGCCCGAACGGGTGCATGATATATTGGAGAGCACATAGTGAGTTACTGGAGTGTAAATTTTGCTCAACTGCAAGGTACGACATTAGCAACCAGTCAAATAAATGTATTCCACTTGCAAAAATGGAGTACTTTCCTCTTACTCCTAGGCTGCAACGACTCTATGCTTCAGCCACCACAGCAGATGATATGAGGTGGCATAAATTTCACCACAGAGAGGAAGGAGTAATGCGCCACCCGTCGGATGCAAAGGCGTGGATTCATGTTGATAATGTTTATCCAGAGTTTGTTGCAGATCCGAGAAATGTGAGACTTGGTCTATACACAGATGGGTTCCAACCTTTTGGTCAATTTGGACAACAATATTCATGTTGTCCTGTGAATGTGACACCGTATAATTTGTCCCCAGGTATGTGTATGAAACAAGAATTCTTATTTTTAACTATATTAGTTCCCGGACCCAGGAATCCAGCGAAAGGGATCGATGTGTACCTGCAACCACTGGTAGAGGAGCTTAAGGAATTGTGGGAGGTTGGTGTCAGAACATATGACGCAGTTTCAAAGCATAACTTCAATATGAGAGCGATTTTGCTATGGACGATTAGTGATCTTCCAGCATATGCCATGCTATCAGGATAGACAACAAAGGGAAAGTTTGCATGCCCATATTCCAGCAGTCCAACACCATCCAGGTAAAACTAATTTCAATGTATGTATTATTATATTTGCTTTGTTAATAAGGTAGTTCTCAAAATATGTGCTGAGTTTTCTTGAGACATGATACTTAATTGAGAAAATTTGAATGTAATTCATTTTTGTCTACATGAGTAGTGAGATTGACTTATAAATTGATAAATGTATAGCCTAATATTGATAGGAACTTGTATTGGAGCTGTGATGTTTGATAAAAATCCTCAAAGAAAAATACAAACTTGATCTAGTAATTTATTTCAATTACTTAGTTTTTCCTAAAATAACCCAGTTTTTCTTAAATGTTTCTCTATTTCTCTATCTTCCATTGAGAAGAGAGTTGTTTGTGGTATATCATTAGGCGTTGAGGCATTAACAAATACATGTGGAGACTTTTTAACATGATTTCTATCGCTTACATTCACCTTATGGACCAGTATTTGTGGCATTTCTCTGTAGCAATTTATTTGCACGTTAAGTTAAAAGTAAACAGAGATGAATACATAACTATCGCTTTGTTTTGGTTTTATTATTAATACCTTGTAAAAGAATGGACTTTTTTCTGCGAGAATATGAGAGCTGATGTGTATTGTTTTTACTATTCTAACCCTTGAATCCATGAATTTATTAATTTTTGTTATATATTTTACTTGATGATTTACTTGATTCTTGGTGCTTTAAAGGGTGCTACTTCTAAAGAAAAAGAAGTTCTAACATGATTCCGGCAAAAGGATTTGGGGCTGCCATGCTAAATAGGACAGGAGCTAACAAAACCCAAGAAAAAACCGGCAGCACAAGCATCTCAAGACAACCAGCAAGTAACGGTCACTCAAGGTCATCTACCCCGTTTGCAGTGAACAGAAAAAGTACATCCTGGCCAGTGGGGAAAAATAGGCAAATTCTCCAACCGCCTCCGTCCCAATATAGCCAATCTGATGGTCTGAGACATACGAAGTCAGCCACAAATAACCAACAACGTGTGATTGGGACACACAAAAACCTTGAACCATTATCTAATGAGAGTAACTCATCAACACTTGAAACTGGTGAGGATCCACTAGAAGACAATGCTGCCACACGCATTTCAAATGAAGATATCGAAGAGGATCCCAAAGAATGGAAGCCGGAAGTATACGCTCATCTTAATTGGGGGGAATCACCTTTGGACCCTTTCAGACCTGTATCAATTGCACAATTTGAAAAGCCCAATGTTGGTGTAAATGCAATCCGGAAGTGAGTTTCATTTTTCACCATCACTGTTTTTATACTTTTTTAACTTCAATTTAACTAACTCACTTAATTAAAATGCAGCCTAACAAACATAGTTATTTACCCAAGAAGTTTGAAATTCCAGAGAATTGTGGGTAAACAGATCAGATATAATTTGCACCCGGCAGGCCAACATTGGAAATGGGTTCCAGAGAGGACAAAGAAGCTTTATTGGGATCAGTTTCAGGTTATTTTAATTATGTAGTAAATCATTTTTAATTATTCAGTTTCTTAAATCAATTATTTGTTATTGCACAGAGGTTAGTTACTTGGGATATTGAGCAATTCAGTGATGAGCAAATAAAAGAAGGTTATATAAATTATTTGAAAGAACATGCATACTCCAACATTTTGACTTGAAGAAGGAAGAACGATAAATGTTTCATTTTTTTTCTGAATATTCAATTTTTCTTTCAAGAAACATGGTTTATATAATTTGTTTGTCTAACTAATTCGAACTTTCAAGGAAAAAACGGCCTGTAACTGTGAACGATTTCACTTGGTCAGTTGTGAAAGAATATATGAGGTCTGAACAATTCATAAGGGCATCTAAGTCCGGTAAAAAAACGCATGGCTGGTGGGGATAGGTGCAAGCAGTATGGGGGATCCCGAGCTGTTGTTGATGTAGCTACACAAGAGGTTAGATTTTAAAAGGTGTTAGCATGTTGGTCTTATTTTTAGTTATACCTTGTTACTCCATGTAGTAGTAACAAATTATTCAGTATAACAATGCTGCAGATATGAGTTTTACTAAAATAAAAGGTTTAATTTGTGACGGGATATTGGTTTGGTAGTGAATGCATGTGTTACAAAACAATACAATAGATAACTTTAAAAAAGTTTGATTAGTAAAAAGACTAAAAATGCAGGTGTCGCGCCTGCTTCTGTTGCCATGGATAACAAAACTTAAAGATTTTTCATATCTTACTAATCTCAGTTAGATCTTGCATGACATCTCTCAATAAGAATTGACATTATGATATTGTGAATGCGTCTACTATCAACTTGATGAGAACTATTTATAGATGAAAATTTTCTCAAGCGTACTGAATACGTTTTGATACTTTGTTTTAGTTGAGGGCCACAGGCAAAGAAATAAACCCCGTGAAGATGTATGGTACATATCACCCAGACAAAAGGAAGAATGGAAAGCTTATTACTTGTGCTTCACACGATGTGATAAAGGTATTTCATTTTTTTTGGCTTGAAATATCCCAATACATAAGGTAGGACAGAAAACAATATATAAAGTATTACTAATGTCTCAAGTCACAACAAAGCAAAATGCTAGATGCTGTAGAAAACGAGTTTAAAAAATAGCTAAGTACTCCATAGTAAACAATTATGATTCCAACGATAGTGTGGCAATCCTTACTCATCAATACAATGGAAGCAGAAAAACAGAACTATTACCCGTGTTAACGAAATAAACATTTTTGGTTTTTTTTTTGCCAGCCAGTATGAAGAGCACATTTTCTAGGTCAAAGCATGACTAAAGTAGTTAACCAGTCACTCATGTTTTCACTTTCTCCTATGAGCAGGGACATACTTCAGATAGAGGGTCTTTTTCTGACATTAGTAATGCATTCTTCTTAGGTCTAATTAGTAAAATAGGTTATTCAGCATGTACATGTGAATCTGTGATGCCGAATAAGTAAACAGATTCACCAAACTCTGCATGGTTTGCCAAATATTCAATTAACATAATCCCAGCTTGCATTTAAAAGACGTAAAATTGCAAAATATGCCCTGTACAAAACTTTTGTTGTTTGTTTTTGCAGGTTTACTTATTTTGTGGTTTCAAAATATCAATGTGGCTTTGATATTTTGTAGGTCTACAAATTGTGGCAGAATTCTTTAATATTTGTAGCTTCTATTGGTAGCTATGGCTAAAATAGAATGTGGCATATGTAGCTTCTATTGTTCAATTTTATTTGTAGGTGTACTTATGTTTGTTAGTTTTTATATGTATAGGAAGTTTTGAGTAAACTGTACGATGCTTGTCAAGATGGTAGCCAACAACAATCTGAACCTTCAAGTCAAGAGGAGAGCACTAAAACTCCTAGTATCTCTTCAGCTAAGTTATCTTCAAGATACTTGGAAATTGTTGGGTGCAACAAGAAAAGAGTTCTTGGAACGGGCAGTTATTCAAAGGCTTTCCTTCATCGAGTTAATGCTTGCAATGCAGAATGCTCATCTTCATCAAGAGCTCGTCGGTTGAATGATTTTTGTGTTTTTTGGGATGCACGCATGAGGGAGTTCTTAATTTCAGAAGGTGATCAACTCCCCCCTGAAATGCCAATTGTGGATGACATTATTCAAGACGAGGAACCTGACTCACAGCCCAAGAGCATTGAACAAACGCGGCTGCCATTTTTGAAATCAATGGGGATCGATGCATCAACTTTCTTTGCCACATCAGAATCCTCTAAAGAATCCATGGACTCTCTTGATGAATAATATCTCTCATTAGCCTTTCAAAAAAACTCTCTTGAATTTTTTAATGTGTTTTTTTAATGTTACATTTCACTATGGATTGATGAATGGTGAATGTTTATTTATTAGCAAGCTTTTGACCAATACATAAAATATTATGTGTTGAAAGTCTACTGAATGTTTTGTTATTTGCATTGAGAATTTAGATCTACAATTTTTGGCATATAAATCTTGCAGAATGATTTTGTTTATATTATTAAAAGTATATATGTTATTAAAAAGAATTTATACATTTAAAAAAACACAATTCAAAAAAAATTTGAAATTAATTTTACATTTATATTTTTAAAGCATATTTCAAAAATAATTTTTTTTACATACATATCACTGACGGATTTTTGTGGCAGAATATCAGACACTAATTTTAATGGCGGAATTGCAGAGACAAACTTCCGCCGCTACTTTGCTTCCGCCCAATTTATCCGACACTAATCCATTTTGTGTCCAGATTTTGGTGTCGGAAAATCCGCCACTAATGTCCGACACTAATGACGTTAGTGACGGATTTAGTGTCGGATTTTCTGACACTAAATTCCGAAAATTCTTGTAGTGTAATTACTAACAGAAGTATTTTCTGTTTTTCCAAAAACTTGGAAAACTGGAGATAGAAAAATCAGAAAACCTGTCTACCTACCCGTTTTCAGAATCAAATAAATGAAACATGTCTCGCCTTTTCACTCGTGAAACGGAGAATGGCCTTAGAGGTGTTTTTGCATTTTAGAAAACTCGTTGCTATAGTAAATTGTATTTACTCGCTCATCTTCCTTCGTCTACCAGCCTTTACTCACTCGCATTAACTATGCTTCATCGCCCTACCTTTCTCCACCTACGCTCTTTACTTCTTCTCCAAACAGCTGCACCCCTTCCCTAGCTATTAAAGTCGAAGGAAAGCTTCGTCAAACAACACAATCTTCACGGAGGAAGAACACAAGCTGCACCGCTCTTTACAATTCGTAGATGCGTTCCGGTGAAGACCCGAAAAGCATCGCTGCAAGGAGCCCTGAACATCACGGAATCTCCCCAATCTTCAGTCGGCTCGTGTTCTGTCAACGACTTAAAGGTAAGCTCTCAAATTAAATGGAATTTTCACTTTACCTTGTTCAAATTTCGAATTTGATTGGATTCCTGAAATTCGTTAAATTTGACTCTGGATATTATACTTGTGAATTTCGTTCTTAGGGTTTTTTCATTGTTTATCAATGAATGCCTTAGTTTGTACTTATTTTCCTGGGAAATCAACTTTGGTAAAGGACATAATTTTTTAAAAGCAGATTTTTATCTGCCCTAAGGTAGTACAGTTAGATAAAAAATGCACCGCCCTTCCTTCTCAACAATTATCATATATTGGTAAAGGCAGATTTTTATCTTTGGTTTTTTTTTATTTAGAACTCTATAAATGAGTAAAGGACATAATTTTTTACTTCAAGAGTTCTTGATTCCATGAACATATTACTACCTTTTTTTACATCAACAGTTTATTTTACAATAAGCCATCAGGACTTGATTCCATTATACCTGATGGCATATTACTACTTTTGTAAACTTTTGTAAGAATAAATTGCTTTCATGGTTAATGGTTAACAGAACTTTTAAATCAAAAATCAAATGGCATATTACTACTTTTGTGAACCGTTAAATGTGAACTGTTAAACCAATATTACTACCAATAGAAAACTTGGGGGGTTCATAAAGTAAGAAGTCAAACTCTTTATTGTAGAAAGAAAGGTAGTAATCTGCCATAAGGTAGTATCAGGGGCGGATCCAGAAATGAGGGGTGGGGTGGGCTAAGCAGTAAAAAAAATACCGCACACGAAAGGTTTAGCTTAGGATTGTCATCGAACTACTCTATCCGGTCCTTAATTAACTTTACATTTTCCTTTTTGGGTCGTCCCATATTAAACTTTACACTTCATTATTTGCCTTGTTTGGCAAATAAATCTACACCAAATAGTGCAAAACAGTGTCAAACAGTGTACTCTACAGTAAAGTCAAATTTATTTCCTAAATATGTGTGCAGTCAAAGTGTAAAGTTTAATAAGGACCGGAGGGAGTAAGATTTTTTCGAACTACTCGATTTCAAATGTGATTTCAAATTTAATTTAACGACCCGAGTTTAACGAGCTTTGAACTCAAATACATGCTAGATTTTGAGTTTGAATAGTTATTCAAGCCGAGTTCGAGCTTAGTGACGTTCAGTTCGATCCAGGCTCTAGCCTATCGATAACTTATACCCCCTCTGGTACTAAATAAACTTCACACTTTCCATTTTGGGTAGGTCCAAAATAAACTTCACACTTCTTCTCCCTTCCTTATTTGGCAAATTATCTACATCAAAACAGTGCAAAACAATGTCAAACGGTGTCAAACAGTGTCACAACAGTGGACTCTACAGTAAAGTCAAATTTATTTCCTTAATTTGTGTGAAATCAAAGTGTGAAGTTTATTTAGGACTGGAGGGAGTAAGTTATACGAAAAAATTATATATTACGGAGTACTAAAATTTAAACATTTTAGTAAGATTTTATAAATTTATTAATGATTATTAAAGATTTTAGTATTTCAAAATTCAATTAAATTTTTTAATTCTTTCTTAGCATGCCCACACAATAAATAAGTCATTCTCTAATCTTCATTTGTGTAATAAATAATCATTACCTAATCTTTAATTCTATCTTTAATCATTATAAATTTACAATGAATAAACACTATTTTAGTATATACTGAAAAATTCAATTAATAATCAAATAGATTTACAAAACTAAAAATAATAATACAGAATAAAACGAAGTCACAAATCATACAATGTTTAACAAATAAAACACAACAACACAATTGCTCCCGACCCTCTGTGTTAAACATATATTCAAATAGATTAACAATGTTTCACAAAATAATACAATGCTTAATATATAATACAATGGTTAACCAAGAAAAAAAATCTGTAAAAAAATCTGCAAAATAATACAATTCTTTCCTTTCTTGGCAATGTGTTCATTATCCATTCTAAAAAACATTTCCAATATTGGTATAAATTAAAATACTTATATAAAAAATATAACTAATAAGGAAAAAATAAACATTGTACACTTGTACATAAACATTTTCAATTGTATAATAACTAAATCATTTTCCACTCTTTAATTCTATCTTTAATCATTCTAAATTTATAATGAATTAAATACTATTTAATTATGTACTGAAAAATTCAATTAATAATCATAATGATTCCCTAACCCTAAAACCTAAAATGCTAAAAATAATAATAGATTAATACACAAATACACAATAAATTATAACTTCTAGTCGGCAATTGGAGTTTACAAATAAAATTTGGAGAATAACACATTCACAATCTAACAACAACAAAAAATCAAAAAACTAAAACAGAAACTGATGAATTTGAAGAATTGGAGATTTGTGAAGACGAACACCGGTGGGCGGACACCGGACGACGTAGGCGGGCTGACGAGAAGTAGGTTCCTTGACTTCCTTCGCAGTTTGCAGCCGCTCCTTCGCAGTTCGTAGCCTCGCAGGTCTTCAATCGTACAATGACAGCTCTAATTTGCGTAAGTAATAAGACTGGGATTTGGGCCGAGAAGGGCAGGTAAGGTTGGAATGTGGGTTGGGAGTTAACTTCGGGCTGGGCTGAGAATTAATTTTGAGGTGGGCTCAGAATATAATACATACCTATACTAACTAAAAAAACTTGGGCTGGGCTGAAGCCCATCCCTGCCCTCAAGTACATCCGCCCCTGGGTAGTATAGTTGGAACATCAAAGAGTTGTGGAACTCATGTAGCAGCCTCAGCACCCGCTTCCAAACAAAAGACGTTTTGTAAGTACAACTTTCAGCTCAGGTCTCGTCCAAGTTTCACCCACAAAGGATGAAGAACACCACTAAAATCACTAAGGGGAAAGAGGGGCGTCAGCCAGCAGGCTATTTCCGGCCAAATCAATCGAGCACCCACAGTGAGGCGAAAATGAGAGAAGCAAGGGTTTCGGCGGACTCACAGTGGTATCAAAGACAGGAGTCATCTGCCGTCGTTCGCCGCCATGTCGTCGTGTCGTCGCCGCCGCCTGCCATCGCCAGAGGTCCTGCAGTAGCCAGCTTCGTCGTCCAGCGTTCTTCCAGCGCCCAGAAGCCTCGGTCCAGTGTTCTGCCAGAGCACAAGCTGCTGTCCAGTCCGCTGCCGCCAGTCAAGTCCGTTGTCGCCGTGTCTACAGCAGCCCACGCTGCCTACGGTAAGTCGGGTAACCCAACCTCGGGCCCCGCTCAGGTAAATTGGCAATAAACATCCTAGCTTGGTGTACCGGAGTGCCACCGGATTTATTTTTTTCCCCGCTCCCTGCTGCTGACCTGCGTGGTCTTGGATGCCGGCTGTGCCCGACCCCAGGTATGTTTACTAATCCTTTGTGTGATTATTTATTCGTAGTTCATTCATTTTAATTTCAAGTTGAATTGTGATTTTTTGTTTGTTGAATCGTGAATTAATTTTCCGGTGAAGAATATTTTGTTTGGATACTCGTTATCCAAAGTTGTGAATATTTCTTCCTGATTAAATTTAATCATGTGTTGGATTCTTTGATTTTGATTTTTTCGGTTGATTGATTCGTGGATAAACTTTCCGGTTAAGAATATTTGTTTGGATACTTGTTGTCCGAAGTTGTGAATATTTCTGCCCGGAATAGTTTGTTAATCCTGTATCTTTGCTTGGTGATTTAATTCTAGCCTATATGTGCTTGTACGAAAGAGCAAGGAGATTGTACCCGAGCTTTGTGTTCACTGGTCTTCTCGGCTTGTTCATGCTAGTTGCTTCGTACATTTTATAGCCTTATAGGTTATAATTAATCACTTATCTGTCTGTTGAGTAAATAGTAATTTATCTGTGCTTGTACGAAAGAACAAGGAGATTGTACCCGAGCTTTGTGTTCATTGGTCTTCTCGGCTTGTTCGTGCTAGTTGCTTCGTACTGTGCGTAGCCTGATAAATTTTATTTACTCTCTTGCGTGTTGTGCTTGCTTTCCTGTTAAAATGGCTGTCAATCAATATGGCATGCTTCCATTTAACGGAAAGACAGATTTTGATATCTGAAAACAGAAAATGAAATGCATGTTGATCCAACAGAAAGTCTATAGAGCTGTGACCGGACTCTATTTAGCCTCTGAGGATGTTGCTAAGCGTGTTGAAATGAATGAAACTGCTTGTTCCTCTATTTACCTAAACCTTTCTGATTCAGTGCTCAGGAAGGTGGGTATTATAGATTCTGCAAAAGAGTTGTGGGACAAGTTAGATAAGTTATATACCGATACTTCTTTGCCTGGTAAATTGTTTTTGCTTGAGAAGTTCTTTAGGTTTAGGTTTGACCTGACTAAAGACATAGATGAGAACCTAGATGTGTTTAACAAGCTTATTCGGAACATTAAGCAAGTCGGTGATAAACACATAGATGACTACACACCCATAGTGTTACTTAATGTCATCCCTGACTCTTACAATGACGTCAAATCTGCCATAAAGTATGGTTGGGACGATATCTCGTTAGATATAGTCGTTAATGGATTAAGAAGTAAGGAGTTAGACCTTAGACACTCGAGGGATAGTAACAGTCAATCTAGGGACTCTGGTGAAGCGTTGCTTGTGAGGGGTAGGTCCAAGAGTAGATCTAAAAACCATAAGAAGGGTAGCAACACTAAGAACCAAGATTCTACACGTTTCGCGGTAGACATTCAACGGTGACTCAAAATGTCATGGCAGCTTATAGTCATGACATGTTGTTTACGTATGTATATGCAGGTTGGAAGGGAACATGCAATGACTCGCGAGTATTTTTAGATGCAATTTCAAGAAGCGAAAATGGGTTGCCCATGCCTCCTATCGGTAATACAGTAATTATGCAATTTGTGTTAATCAAGTGACTATTTTACAAAAATTGGTTCCCATTGCAGTTGTTATTGACTTCATTACAGGTTATTACTATGTTGTTGATGCCAGCTATCCAAATGTTCCCGGTTTTTTAGCTCCATATCGTGGAGAGAGTTATCACTTAAATGATTTTCGATGTCGAGGACGAATACGCAACAAGCAAGCTTTATTTAACTACCGACATTCGTCCTTGCGTAATGTGATCGAGAGGTGTTTCGGAGTACTAAAGGAAAGATTTCTCATTCTAGACATATCACGTGATTACCCATTGAGAAGACAGGTTCAAATTCCCATAGCTTGTTGCGCATTGCATAACTTTATTCGCGTGCAAGATAGGAACAACCATTTGTTCTTGGAGTACGAGGAAGAGGACATGATATTTAGCACAGAAGCGAGTACAAATGAAAATGGTTCACTCCAATTTGATATGTCTCGACAACAACAAATGCACGAAATTCGAGAGTATTGCAAATGCAATTATAATGTATGACATGTCGAAGTACGATTGTTGTTCTGATTAACATAATGTCACTTATTGAACATTCGGGTTTGGGAAACATTTATGTTAATTTTTTGTGTTATTCCAAATGTTTGTAATTGTGCATTTCTTTTCCAAATAAGTCAACATTTTCTGGTAAAATGAAATGGAAAATTAAAAAACTCCGGTAAACATGTTTTTTGATTTGGAACTCAAAATACTGGAAAACGAAAACAGAAAACTGGAGACTTGAAAACAGAAAATGAAAACAGAAAAATATTTCTGTAAGTAAACAGGTCCTAAACTTTTATCAAAATAATTAGAATACTATTCTTTTAACTGTTTTAAGAATTTTTTTTGTATTGAAAAATAAGATTTATTAAAACAAAAAAAACTATATTTTCTTTGTGTCAACCGTATAATTACTTAGCTTGTGACTTGTGAGTTCTTTCATTGTTTGAATATTGTTTCTAAAAGTTTCAAATTCACTAACAGACTCAAATTAATTTCATTTTTATAATCCAAAGACAACTAGTTTTAACTCATCTAATTTTAAAGAGATTTCCCTAAATAAGAGTAAAAGAGTTTTGAAATTCCAAAATAGGATTATCATATTTTTTATTCCCTGAATTGGTATAAATTTCTGCCAAGTTTGGCTTTACTAGGTTTTAAACATGGTTTTTTTCAAACTTGGTAGAATTACTCATATTCAGGGAATAAAAATATGAAAGACATATTTAGGAATTTCAAAAAAAAATTACTCCTATCTAAGACAATTTCTACTAATTTTATTGATTACAGGGCCGGTCCTGTCAATTTCTGGGCCTATAGGCGGTACGCTATTTTAGGCCTATATCCATGACAAACAGTAAATCATATTTGGGCAATGTAGTTCATAAAATAAAGACGAGAATCACTTTATTATTATATAAATTACATATTTAGGCAAAAGTAACAACACAAGTATCGAATAAAAAGAAAAAACATCACTTAAAAAAGTTTCTCGTAGACCAATGTGAAGCAAATCATTAATAATTGCTTCATACGCAACCTTTTTTCCACTAATAAATATGACACACAATAAAATTGCCACATATAACAACAGTAAACTTTCTTTTAAAAGGATAAATGAAAAGAAATATTACCACATATTGAATTCATAATTTGAGAATGATTTATTAACCGCTGATGAGAGTCTAAAGTTTGAAGTCTCGAAAGAATGAATGTTTTCAAAGAGAAAATGTTTGGCTGCCAAGAGGACTCGCGCAAGAAGATTGCAAATTTGACGTCCTCTAAAATTACTATTAGGAACTCAGATATAGCTTATTGAAATTTAGAAAGAAATGAATAATTGGGGTGAAATTTGAGAGAAACGGGCTTCAAAATAATTATATAAATTTGTTGTGTTATAATTAAATTGAATAAAAAACCTTAAAAGCTAAAAAGATGTGAGGACTGGAAAGACATGTCTTTTATTTATGCAGCAACAATTGTATTGCTTTTAAAAACTACAACCGGTCCTGTTAAAAATTAATGTATATATTCTGTTTTAAACTTGTCTCTGTTTAAGACCCTTTATTTATCTTTTAAAATTTCAAATTGTCAACAAAATTAATCATTAGACCTAATTAATTGACTTTAAGAATAAAAAAAGAAGTCTACTCACACTATATATAAAGAAATAATTTTAGACCTATTTTTTCTTCTATTTTTTTTGGCCTAGGGCGGTCACCCCTCTTGCCCCGAGAACCGGCCCTGCCTATATATGAATTCGAGGTTCCCTTTTTCTTTTTTATTTCCCATATATTCGCTACCGAACAAATTAAACACGTAGTCATACTTAAATAGCCAGTTACCAACCGGTAGCAAAGTAGAGAGATGAGTTAATAGATTAAAATATTTTCATATTATCAAAAAGTGAGACGGTTTTGAAACTCTTCATGCACGACTTCAGAATCAGTTTTCCTTTTTTAGAACCGTTTCATGAGTTTTTTTTTTGACTTATTCACCTTACCAATAACTTTTTTAATACCTAATTTTTAATTTTGCATGTTAAATCATGTCATAATAAAAAATAAATAGGATTGAATTACTTTTTGATTGAATTAACTGAAAGTACGTTTTGTAAATGATCATTTGTAGCTCTTTTCATCTAAATTTTTCTTTATTTTTTAATAAAATATATTTTAATTGTTTTCTTAATTCAAAAGAAGCAGTCAAAACTTCATCAAATCCAGCATAATCAATTGATTCAATCAATTTTGGTGTTATCAAACGGGCTCTTAATGTTGATAAAATCTCTATTTTTATCATTCAACCGGGGGTCTATGTATGAGCTATGGTGGGCTGAAATCCAGGGCAACTGAATTTTTTTTTTCATTTTTGTTAGAGTAAATTTTTTCATTTTTCATATTTAGCACACTCCTATAATGTTTAAGCCTAGTATACTTGTTATTCAACCTAGGGCATTCCAAATTTTTGGATCCGCCCCTCCATTCAACTTATCATTTATTAAAACATTATTAATTGGATTCTAATGCCTCCATACTCTTTTCCTTGCAATATTGGTGAATACTACATTATTCGCATGTTCTACTTTGACTACATATTATTTTATGATTTATTATAAAATAAGGTTTTAAAAAACATTTTTTTAATTCCTCTCATTTTAAAATTTCAAATTTTGGTTTTTTAAATTTTTTTTAACTAATAAGGAGTGAATAGACTCGATGGAACTTCGTGAGTACGTATTTTCCAACAAGTGTCGTGCGTTTCTTTCTCTCTCTAGGGTGGGTTAACACTGCTAGGGATTTTTCTCCATTATCGTTTATAATGAGGAACGGCCGTCGCAGGCGGGGTTAGGCGTACATGATTTCTTCTTCAGTCATCAATTGTGTGGCTCTTTTCTTCTTTGCTTGGCGAGATTAAGCGGAGGGAAGATGATGTTTGACCTTTGGCGGCCGAAGGTTGTGCATGGACGAAAGATGGATGCTTGGTCTCCGACGGCCAAAGGTCATGGACGAAGCATGGGGCTAGAGACTGGAACCGATCTGGATTCGAGATCATCTATGTTAGGTGACAACAGAGGAGGCTTGGTAGAGATGATCTGAGATGAATAAGAGGCAAGGTGAGGAAGAAGCTACAGTACTGCTGGATCGTCCTCTTCCTGAATCACCGTCATGGAGTGCAGGAGAGTCGAGGGTTTGGAACCATCTTTTTAATGATCACACTGTTTATTTTTCTGTTGGTTACTTTTATTATTGTGAGACTCTTGCATTAGGATTGAGTGCTGCGAGGTCTTCTTTAACCGGCTTTGGCTCATGTAAACCCGTTATAGAATCAACGAGTTATATTGCTTCTCTGAACACTACAACAAAATATAGCTTTTGTAGCATACGCAAAATGTTGCAATAGGTGTAAAAAATGTCGCAATATATCAAATGCGGCATTTTTAGCATGCTGCATCCGAGTGGTGTTACAATAGATGTATTGTAGCATTTTTATCATCTTGTTGTAATATTTTTTGGTACAATAATGTTACAATAGATACTATATTGTAGCAATTTATGTGATGCTACAAAATAGATGCTGCAATAAACACTTTTGTGCTAGTGGAAGGTGATTGACTCTAAGTCTGGTTCGAAGTTCGGCGGTTGCCTGTGATCTTTATATCGTTTTAACCCCTTTCTGAATGTTAATGTTGTGATATCAATGTAAGCCACCCTCTTACAAAAAAAAACCAATAAGGAGTGAAATATAATAATGGTCAAACTTGTGCATTAACAAACATGGAAATTGAAACATTGCAATTAAAAAGAACGGAGATAGTAAACATTATGAAGTTTGTTTCAATGTAAAATTAGAAAATGTGATTTTTTAGAAATAGATAATTACATAAATATTACTCTTTAAATTGTGATGGACAAAAATATTACTAAGTAACTATTATTGACTACAATTATATTTAAAATTTACAAGTTACTAAGATATAAATTTTGAATACAATTATAATCACTAATGGAGTAATAGTTAATAATCACAATTTTGTCCATAACATTTTTATTAGTGATATTTTGGGGAAAGCCCCAAAATAGTATTGCTCAAAGTTAAATGGGATAAAACTAAAATGAAAGGAGCAATAATAATACGGAGTATAAATAGATACTCCATCACTTGCCCATGTTACGAATCCATACTCCGTTTCTGATATAACAATCATATGGGTAACGCTGATTATGAGTGGCCGCAGCGCCGCCGTGGGGAGGTAGAAACCCCACCGCCAAAGCCTTTCTACAAAGTGATAGAGTCCACCGTCAAAGAGACCCTGTTCCCCGACGACCCGTTCCGGCCGTTCAAGAAGCAGCCCCTCCCCAGAAAGCTTGTGATGGGCTTGCAGTATTTCATTCCCATTCTCGAGTGGGGCCCGCGCTACAGTTTCAACTCCTTCAAGGCGGACGTCGTCGCCGGAATCACCATCGCCAGCCTCGCCGTTCCTCAGGGCATAAGCTACGCCGGTTTGGCAAATATTCCTCCCATCTATGGATTGTGTAAGCTAACTTAATTACATCCATATAAAACCAAAATGATATGCTATATTTAGTACATAATGTCTTCATTATCCATATATGTTTACCATTTACGCTGTTTTCAAGATAAGATTATAATAATATACTTCGTATAAACAACGTAAATCAAATTGAAACATTTTGAGTTTCTTTTTTTATTAAAATTTAACCAAAAATGAAATTATGTCAAAAAATGAGATTAGAGTTAATATAAACTTAATTAACGACATCAATAATTACTGTAAAAATAAACATTATCATAGTCGATCACATATATTTGCTAATATCATTAGTGTGTGTAAATGGACACACTTTTTGTTTGCTATCGATCTTTACTCTAATTATAACGTATGTTAAGTCATTATCTTTCAAAATTCAAAGAACCTAATTTTAAAACTATTTGACTTTCACCTAATTTTGGGCTGATGATGTGCAAATATTAATGATTTTTCAAGTGATCTTTTAATATCTAATTTTACATAATTATTACTTATCATTCTCGAATTCATTTTTGCAGT